CCTATTTCCTGGAGTAGGAAAACGGTATTTTGTGAAATCAAGGGCAGGTGGCTCCCACTTCATAGATTTAGGATGAGGGGTCGCCTCTCGCCCTTGAACTGGCTTCCTCTTCCGTGAAGTGGAGGGTTTCTTAGCCGACTGCTCCTTGTCCAGAGCAGGCGGCTTCTTGTTGATCAACTCTTGAATTTCTCCCTTGAAGTCCCTCATGAAGGTCATGAGTTCGTTCCTTGTGATGGGAGCAGACCCATCAGTCGGCTGCTGCCGAACAGGCGGTGCGCCTGCTGGCTCACTTCCAGTTTGAAGATTTTTCCGTTCCCTCCTTTCGGTATGACGGGTACGTCGGGCCCTTAGGGTCCCGTCTGAAGCTGTGTGAGCTTCAACTTCAAATTCATTCTCAGTATCGTGGTCCGACTGAACTAGAGGGTCGTCCAGGGGATGTCTCTCTTCAGGAGCCGGTACAAATGTGGATGCCATCTCAGAAGTACTCTCCCCACAGACGGCGCCAAAATGTTTCGGGGTTTTCTGATGTCCTGCGGGAGAGTTACAATTCCGAGACTGGAACCGGACGCCTGTACCTGCAAAACAAACGGACGCTCCGGATGATTGGAGATCCGCCTCCGACGGTCAAGTTAGTACTTGATTAAGGAGTAATTAATGCGGAAATTAAAGTGATTGGGTCTCTCTAGGTGAGAGAGTTTAATGTGTGTAATCTGCGTAATCTCTCTTAATGAGGATTAAGGGAGGTATTTATAACATCGGGAAATGTGCCAATCTAGGTTTAGGTTAACCTTGGGCTGATTGGGCTTCCCACGGAAGTTGGGCCTAGGTGACCGGTTATCCCAGGTGTCATGGGAAGGACACGTGTCGTGTCGTAATTGGTCCAGAGTGGACGGATCATTGCTTGACACGTGGCAGGCTCCTATTGGCCCATGTGACGGACACATGGCGGAACCTGATTGGTCCACTTGTCAGATGGTGATTGGTGGGGAAAAATCCCCTAATCAACAGGGATAATCCTGGTGATTACTTTAGTATATAGGTATGGATTAGTAACAAATGTGTGGCCCGAGCGATGCCCCGGGCTGATAATTATGTTCGATTGTTTTATAGTTAGTGTGTGGTTCGGGCGTTGCCTGTTACTGTTTTATTTATTTAATATTATTTTCTAATGTTGTGAAACACAAATAAATTATATATATATATATATATATATATATATATATATATATATATATATATATATATATATATATATATAACCTTTAATTTACTTCATAAATGAAAGGAACGTATAATGTTAATTATGTGAAATTTAATACATTAATCAAAGTTAATTGAGATGGTAAATATGTAACCTTTATGTGTTAGAGGTTACGGGTTCGAATCTAGCTCAAAACATATATACTTTGAAAAGTGCCATGTGGCACTGTTCTTTTGAATGGAACGTCTTTTAATATATAATATAGATATAGATGTAACAAATATAACAGAGAATCAGTAATTTATTTATTAAATTTAGTTTTCCATAAAAATAATTTAAGGGGCCATTTGGTTCGCATTAATAATCAAAGGGAATGAGATTCCATGGGAATCATTCCCTTTGTTGTTGTTTCCTTTTTTCCATTTCTATCAATCCCTTTCCCCTTTGATTACCCAAAAACCTTCTACTCCCATTCCCCACCCCCTAGCCTTTCCTATTCCCTTTCCCCAACCACCACCATACCCACATCAGCCACCCTTACCCACTTCTTGCCGGAACGTCGCCGCCCCTCACCAGAACCTCGTCGCCCCTCCTCTCACTCGAAAATCATTCCCTCACCCATGCATAACCCTCCCTCTCCACTTAGATCCGTCGGCCGCCTCTTCCCCACCCTTCGCCACACCTCTCCTCCCTTCGTCGGCCATCCTCACTCTCAAAACCCACCATCAAAAACCTGAAAAACCTAAAAAAATTCCATCTCCCTCACTGTAAAACGGTCGGCCGACCCTCCCCCACCATCAAAACCCTAGGCGCTAGGGTTTCGAGGGTAGGGGAGGGCTGGCCGATGGGTTTTACGGGGAGTGAGACTAGATTGTAGGGTTTTTCTGGGCTAAGGGAGGCTTTTTGGGGGAGGGATGAGCTGCGCTGGGCCGGCAAGGGTGGGGGAGTGCTAGCGTAGGGCGGCGAATGGTGGGAGAGGTGTGGTGAGTGGTTTGGTGGATGGATGGTGGCTGGAAATGTGGAAAGTTAATGAATTAGGTGGTTGTGTGGTGGTGGGACTAGTGAAATTTTTTTTCCCCTTTCTTATTAAAACAAACAACATAGCAAATATAAGATATTTTTATCCCATTTTTTTCTTTTCCCTTTGTTTATTCTATTCCGATTACCCCTTGCGAATTAAACAACCCCTAAATATAGTAAAAGTAGTATTATTTAAAATAAAAATTACTTTCATTTCAACAAAAATAAGTGATGAGAACAGGCAAAAAGACAACAAGCCAATACTAATTAAAAAATGCTGTCGGTGAACAAAACTGTTAACATGTCCAAATCTGAACGAACAAGACCAACAAACACTGAAATCACAATTACACGCACTCTCTTGTTCCAAGCTAATCATCTGCTGCACAATTTCACTGCTCACTTGCTCTTGCTGTCCGACCACAATGGCATCCTTCAACAACACCACTTTCCTGCTCTTTCTGTTTCTAGCCATTGTCTTAATTAACCACCAAGTTAGATCTGATGGTAAATTTTTCTTTCTCAAACATGCCTTTTTAGTTTATTTATCTTCTGCTTTTGTGACTCCCTTTAATGGGTTAGCTCTTGCTTTCTGTGTTTTTTCATTACTTGATTCTTTTTTCAGATCTGACTTTGAATTGCTGTTTGATCTTGCTTACTGATCTTATATGCTACATCCTTAATAATTTAGTTGTCGCATTGCTAGTTCAAATTATACTATCGTGGTGCCTGTTATATCGAATTTATGGAGAGAGTAGGTAAAAATATAATATTTTTTCTGGGTTAATTTTAATGAATTTGCAGAATTGCGCTTTGCTAAATGTATTTATATATCTTAAAGTTTTTGATCTAATAAGACTAGAAGGTGTTACAAAATGTGTAATCATTAGTCATTACTAGTGAAAAAAATAAAATATCCATTGTTTTAAAAAATGTATGTAGTATTAAAAATGTATAGTATTAGAGTTTGTTTCAGAGATTGCCATTAAACGCCAGGGGAGAGTGCATCAGTATCCTGATTCGAAATCAGGAGCGGCGCACAATAGGGCATATTTGTGAATGACTGAGTCTTTCTTCACATTGGTGTATGCCTGTATGGTGAAACTAGGATTAGCTATGTAGGGGTTACATTTGTTGAGTTTTGGATGATATGGTTGAATCATCTGTAAAATTTAGTCTTGTACAAGAGTTTACATTTCTGGAGTTGGATGGAATAGCCTTATCTAAATTGGCATTTGTACAAACTCTACAAAGAATATGTGGAAAGCTTGGCATATAGAAGCTGCCCTGGGTTTTGTTAGTAGCTCATAACCATGATTGTGTAGTGCGAATGCAACCTGGTGGAAAAACTTGTGTAAAAATTGCATTCACTCCTGACTCAAACGAAACACTATTGTGGTGGACTGGCGGTAGATACTAAGTCGTTTTAGTACAACATATAGTCCAGTCTCACTAAGAGTATTCAGATTTACACATCTGCTCCTATGGTTTTATATTAAGCAAAGAAATTAGCAATCAAAAGCATTCTATCCAGTGTGGTGAGCCAGGTGGCGTACATTCTAACAGAGCTGAGTGTGTATGCGCTTGGACTGTCTTACTGGTATATAAACCTACATTTTCAGCATGAGTCACCTTTTTTGGGTTTAATTGCATAAATTGTGCGACTTCAAATTCATGATTGCTTGTTGATATTTATGTTTAAACAGCCAAACAAAGCTTAAAGATATTCTTGCTCAATTGATATTGTTATCTGCGCCATTATCAAATTCGATCAAGTAGTTGTACTATTGCTCAACTACATGGTCTGCATCCTGATAATGATGTGTATATGCTTTCCGTTGGCTAATGATCTTCTTTACTTCAGATGAGGAAGACAGTCTTCTCCAAGGCATCAACAAGTATCGAACATCGTTGAACTTAACAGCCTTCACAAAGAATGACAATGCAGAATGTCTTGCTGAACAAATGGCTGACCAATTCAAGAATCAACCCTGTACAAACAGCACAGGGTCCAACACTGTTCCAGGCACGGAGAACCAGTTTCCCAACTACCCAGACTTTCTAGCCCATTGCCATTTAAACATCAGCAACACCGCCGATGGCATGATAATGCCTGCTTGTGTACCAAACTTGGATCCAACCCTCGTGCTTTGGAATTTTACAAAGTCCCAGTATTCAGGTAGCTTAAACGATACCAAGTATACAGGAGCTGGTATTGCTTCGGAGGGTAATTGGATTGTTGTTGTTCTTACCACTAATTCTTCAGAAGGCAGCTTTGAAACTTACAAGGCTGCCGGTTTCATTTCTAGACCCAGTCACCTTTTCTACATGATTGTGTTTTTGGTGGTTTGTTTCTTTTTGTTGTAAGTTAAATCGGATGGTTATACCATTTTATCATTCATTTTATTTTTAAATCCTCTCTTGAAACAGTTCTGTCAAATGAAAATGTGAATTTGAATACATCATGTACCTCATTTGTTGAAAAATTCAAATGTTACCTCATGTTACTTGAAGACCTTTCAGTAATGAAGAACAGAATTTTGTTAAAGCTTCTTTCTTTCTTTTTTCATTACTGTCTAGTGGCAAACATTTACTCCCACATCCATGGATATCGATACCTTGAGCTAGGTTGAATGTTCTTAACATTAGACCGACTACATAAGCATATATCCCTGGGATATGGTCGTGTAAATGTTTTCTGTCATAACTATAGATGCTAAGTGTTGTAATTAGCTAAACTATATTTTGGTGAGAGATTAAGAACTTTGAGCCAGGGTAATTGTTCATAAGTAACTCACACCTTAAGATTATTAGGTTTGGTGGTTGGTCTTGCACCTTTGAAGTCACTAATAGACATGATCTCTTCTGCATTATTGACAAATCCTTCTAAGCCTCATAGCCTAAAGAGTCTTCGTTATATACACAATAATTCCACCTGAAATAATTTTACTGATTGCATCATAGAACTCAAGTACTTTTCCATTTCGCATTAGTTGTCAATAGGTATCTTTTCAGAGCAAGCATCATGACCCAATTAGTCTTTGTGATCTTCTCTTTAATCATCAGAAGCAGGGCAGAGCTCAAAACAGTCTTCAAAATTTGGGCATGTAAACCCTTGTAAAACCCAAGAATTCCTTCATTTTTCCAGATGTTACAGAATATCCTTGAGATAGTTTTACTGGCTTTCTTTTGTGCATATGGAAGCTTTTCTTCCTCTATCTCCGCTGCCTGAATCACAACCTTACACCTGCACAAGATTAATGTATCACATCAAATTAATTTTTAATCCAAATTACAACAATCATGACTATATGCTTACTTTTATAAAAGGAAAGTATTCTTGTATCTGTTAATGTAGCAACCAAAGAGGGGAAACAAAGAATATACCAACCTAATAGCCGGATAAGTCAAGCAGGTGGCAATAGTCTTGGAGAGAGCCCCCAACAAAAAGGCAGTAGAAGCAGAGAGAGCGTGTGGGGATGAGTCGGAATTTTTGTTTTTGGTTATCAGGAGTTTGTTTTTGAGCTGGTCAAAAACAGTGTACTGCAAATACAGAAGAAATCAGCTCTATTAGCAGTCGATTAGAAATATATGCCTGCCAAAATAAACATCTGCAACATAACAAGCATCAAACCAGGAGTTGGAATTACACACCTGAATAGGTGGATTCGCAGTCAATAGGAGAGAGATGCCAAGGCCATCAAAAGCACCACTCCAATTCCCTTCAGTAAGGGTCTTCCAGAACCCTTTTGCCTTTCCAAACTCGCTAGTTTGCATCTTGGATGATGCTGTATCCAAAGGCTGTCAACTCAAAGTACAGCATGGGCATGAGAGATGAGACTATATTCCTAGCAAGCTTCAAATTAACACTTCATTTGCTTAAGAAATACAGACACACTGCCCATGATAAAACATAATTGAAACTTATTGTGCCAAGAACTTCACACTAGGTATTTATCGTATCTAATTAAAATGTATCTTACATTATAAGTCAAAGTCAATGATTAAAATACATCTACTAAGTTGTTCCACAAAGATTTTATGAATATATTGAAAGCAATTACTTCGGATCAAGTAAAAATGTTCTTGAGTTAACTTCATTGTACATTTTCATAATATAGATTTTTATTTGATAATTTAAAATATTTATAATCTAAGTTGTACATGGCAAGCGTGCTAGCCAAAGTAAAGGAAATTTTTTTGAAACAGAAGAAGTAATATTTCCCCCTTTACCTCTCTCCATCTCAAGAGCCTTATTTTTATATCCATCTTACACGGAACTTTTGCTTCTTTTCAATTTTCTAAAGTTGAAATCACACACACACACACACAACCAAAAAAAAAAAAAAAATACAGCAACAAGTTGATAATTTTACTAATAGAAAGACATGTCATTAGAGTTATTTTCACGAAAAAACAAAAATAAAGAGCTTCAGTCAGGATTTTCAAGTGTGTGAAACTCAAGTAGTTGGCAACTTACAACATGTAACCGAGATATATCCCTGAAATATTCAGAGTTAGTATTAACAAGAGATATAAGAGCAACTAACAACCTGTGTAATGACGACAGTTAAAGCCCCAGCGGCAGCAGCGACAATCAAATTTGCTTTTGTGCCCATAGACTTGAGATTACTTTTCTTCAGGTAAAGCCTCTTTAAAAAGCTGTACCCATAAAAATAAATAAACTGTTGTATAACAGATTGGAAGTTCTTTGTCCCTAAACCCTGATATAATGAAAGAACTTGACCATTACGAATAGCTTCCCATAATACATCGGAAAGGTGCCTGCAAAATACAACAACATGCGTAAATTTTTGGAGGGCAGCATAATATAAGCAAAGGAGAAATGGGCCATTATGCCAGCATCAAAAGGCAATGTAATGAACTTATTTTCAGAATGCAATAGGACAACAAATAATCCTGTAAAGGTCTTGCAAAAGGATGTATATTGTGGTGCTTGTGTTGAGCAAGTTGCAGAATAAAATGCATGATAAAATGTTTCAAGAAAGATCAAACATTGTACAAAAAGTTCAAAGAGATGTAATTTTCTTGGGGGGGGGGGGGTCTCAATCTGCAGAATTCAATATTCTGGATTTCTACGCCTATCAATGGTCGAAGTGCAAATTGAGTTCGTAAAGGTACAGATACAAATTTGACCGAGCACAATACACCTATCTCATTTTATACTGCTATGGCCACTGACGATGCTACTCCTTCTAAAGTAACTACCATAATAATACCACCAATATTAACACCACTACCACTCCTACTCTTGCTAGTACCATTGGTACTGTTCTTAATACCAACACTACCACTGCTACGCTTGTAAAAACGGTATGTCTTTCAGTAGTAGCCTAGTAGGTGACATACCTTCTAAGTTTTGAGCTGGCAGAACGATTCTGTTCAGTAGTATAAGTAGTTTATACTCCTATTGTTCCTGCTTTCACTAACATATTAAACCCCGGCTTCTACTAATATGTTAAATAAAAACAAGGTCTTTACATAGCTACATGTCTTTTTACAACTTTTATAAGCTAAAATTTAATTCATAATCATTAAGTAACCATAACACTCCAATACAAAGCCTTACGCTTTGTTTGGATAGCAAAGGAAGGAAAGGAAGGGGAGGGGGAAAGGAGGAAGGGAAGGGAAAAGAAAAGAAGGGGGAGGTGAGCTCCATTTCCCTCCAAATCTCTCCAATTTTAGAGGGATTATGCTTATTAAAGAGAGAGGGAAATGGATTCCTCCCTCTCCTTCCACCAATCCTTTACCCAAACAAGAGAATTTGTCCCCCTCCCTTTTTCTTCCATTTCTTTCTATCCGAACAAAGTGTAGATCTGAAAATGATAATATTGGCTAAAAAAGTTAAGAACCATGAGTCAACAGCTTGAATCCTTCTTCTCCACCCAATTTTGTCCAATACTCCAATGCAATATGATCTCAAAGACCTAACTTTTTCATTGCTTTTAATTACCCCATTCCATCCAGGTCATCCTAGGTGTAACTTTACTCTTTCAATATCTTCGTCATCCTAACTTTTAATTTCTACAATATGCTCTTCATGTTACATACTCCCTCCATTTCTTAATAATCGCAAAAGTAGGGTGGGCACAAAGTTATAGAAAAATCATAGGGTAGGGTCAAAAATATAAATTTTATAATATTAAATATAGTTTTTTTTTTGAAGAAATAATATTAAGTATAGTTAGTAGGGATATATTTAATTATAAATAAGAAAGAAAAAAAAAGTAGTGTGTGTGGGGTTGGTAGGAGAAAGAAATAATAAAATATTAGTGAGTCCTTACCAAATAAGGAAGTGTTGCAATTATTATAAAACGGATGAAAAAAGAAAGTGTTGCGATTATTACGAAATGGATGGAGTACAATTTTGATAAAACACCACATTCAATTATCATTCATTTTATCCTCAATAATTGGTACCATACCGTGAATTCTATCTCTTCTCAATTGTTCAAAAACATTGTACATCACCTTTGATTTTGAAATTAGCACTAGAGTTCACTTCCTCCAGTTTTCGGCCTTTTTGTTGATTTTTCATAACTTGTTGAAGAGGTATGACTGTTCAACATCAGCCTAAGACATTTTCACACATCAATAGGAACTTTATTTGTTCTAACACCTTTCTGTAATTTCATCCGGAACCTTATTCGATCTAACACCTTTCTTCATTTCATCCTGAACCTTATTCAATCTAACACCTTTCTTTAATTTCATCCTCTTTCTTCTCCATCCCGTAACTCGAACTTTTTGCACGCGGTCTTTACATTTTTCTTGACTAGGTAGAAATCTATAATTGCCATCTCTCGCTCAAAATAAATGCAACAATTTCACTTAGCACTCTTGATAAAATAAAGGGAATAAAGGAGTGCAAACACACCATAAACTAGTGTGAGCACAAGCAAAAGATGCAAAAATTACTCGAAAGAGAAATGTTATACTATTTTGAGACGTACAAAAAGTGGAATCTTTACACTTACTTTACACAGCCTTGAAAAGTCTAGCGAAGCATAACTGTAGGCTCTGTTACATGGACTCGGGTACCCATGTCCAACATGGGTATGTATCCAAGCGTCCGACTCGACTATTTTGTGAAAAAAATCCATGGTTTGAACCAAAAGTGAAGTGTCCAAGTGTTATACCTATGCCCGAGTGTCGAGGGTCCGACATGGGTACTTGAGGTGAAATGAAGAGTCCATGTAACATAGACTACAGGTCTAAACACTCCTCTTGATCTCATGAACATTATTAACCTTTTAGTCTCTTACTCAAAGTTTGAACTTTTTAGATCAAATCATCAAAGAACAATAAAAACCTTTCAATAATATTGAGTAATACAAATCAAAATGGCTCATTGATATGCAATAATTGCATTAAGCATGTAGCTAATGAGCCATTGTGTTTGCGGTTACAAGAGTAACATTGTCCACATCCAAATCCCCTTACCACAATAAGAATTGAAGTTTTGTTAGCAACATTAGAGCAATCAAATAGACATCCCCACCAACCTTAAGCTCTTCCAAAGATCCAAGAATCAACACCAAAATCCTCAATCATTCTCATTTTTCTTTTCAGACTATTGTTCATACTCATAGCTCCAAATTCCCAAAGTTTAAGACATGTGATTATCGTTCATCATCCTGTTTTCTAAAGTTACAATGTTTTTCGATAATTAAAATTTGGTAGTGCTCAGTAGTTGAAAAGTTTATTTTCTTTTATTATTATTTTATAGCTTGGGTTATGCCATAACAGAAGTTAAACCAAACAAATTTTTACTCAAGGACAATCAAACCTTTCCCAAATTATCAAGGCTCACTTGACTCAAGAGTCTATAACATCCCAAGCCCTCCCAAATGTTGCCCAGGGTCAGAGCAGCATTATCGCAAGAAAATGTCCTCTACTTTTATCATCTTGCATGCCCCTTTTCTCTATACCTTCTCTCTATGTCCCATAACATCCAACCCCTATCTAGTTTGTTTACCATGACATCTTATACCTACAATCAGCAATCAAATTTAGGAAAGTGCAACGGAAGGTGGAGGGAAGAAGTTGCTAGTGCTGGTAAGTCAGCAAGATGCAGGTGGATGGAGTTGAAGAATTAAGAGGTATGGAATAGTCAACATCTAAAAAATTAAAAAGACTATGATAAGCAATGCGTACTAGTTTGTCAATGGCTAATAATTAACAAATGGAATATTCTCAAAATAAACTAAAGCATATACATTACACATAAAATTTGACAGCTTATAATTTTGGGGCAATGATACATTTGAAACAAGCAGGCAAATACAATTTAAAAAAACAAAAAAAAAACAAAAAAGACCCTAAGAATATTGAATATTGCAAGGACTTTGAAACCTTTGACCAGTTCAAGAATCACCGCGACAAATGAAGAAATCATAATGTAATGCTAGTTAAATCCTTCCGGTTTCCCGACATCATCACAATACAGCAGTCCCGAAAACACTTCCTAAACCATTAGCTCCTTTCAAATCTCGACTTACTAACCTTGTGTGACTGTCACTCCACAGACCACTAACCTTATTGACCTCGATCGCATTGATATTGAATCGAAAGGGAAATTTAGACCATAAGCAATGCATTATACCAATCAGCAAACTAGAGCACTATTCTAAAACTCCAGTTCATCTAGTTGCTCATTCTAAACTTTTCATGAAAATTAATAAATAATCATGAAAAAGAAACATGCAATCACAATTGATTAAAATTTCCAATTTATTCTAATGAATCTACCTTTTCAAACAAAGGTAGAACTTTTCTACATATGAACATGATCTATAATACTTCGTAAAAGAAATATTTCGTAAAAGCCTAGATCTCCAAAACGACACAAAAATCTGAACAGTTATATACACTAACAATACAACTTATGCAAGTTTTATATCTTCAATCAGAAGAAATATGAGCAAAACAGCAAAAATTAAACCAATATTAAATGCCCAAATTCAATACTTGTAAATAATAAATTTTATACACATACATTCATGATTCTTAATCACAAAAAAAAAACACAATTATTAAGACCAGAGAGTCAAAAATCAAAGCTTTAACATAAAATTAACAAATAAATTTCAACATCATCTCAAGAACTCCCATAAAATCAAAATCCATCAAAATTAAAAATTTAAAAAAAAAAAAAGTGGGGCCCATCAAAGAGAGAGAAAATTATAAACCTGTATCTTTGCTGATGATGAGAACGAGCTTCAGCTTGATACTTAGTTTTACAAGTATCTAAAGGGTACAAGACGGTGGTGCTAACAAGAGCTCCAATGGCTCCAGAAGTCGCCTCTGTTAATGATTCAAAATATAAAGCCATTGATATAATTATAATATTCTCAAACTATATAATTTTGATGTGATTATTAGTCTGAAAACTAAGACTCACGAAAGATATGAAGCAAACCTAATTCTATACAGAAAATTCACCAAAAATTCAGCAATAAGCAATATTATTATGAATGTATGATTAAACTATATATAATTCGAAGATTACAACCCTATAATCTTCCCTATATTTATAAGCTAGACTCAAAGACTAAGTTTAAACCTATTCAAATTAGAAGTCTAATCCTAACTGCATTAGAAATCCTTTTTGACCTAGAAAACAAGGAAGTCCGAAATTTTGAACTTCAATCCCTAATTCGGATATGCATAACTAACTAAGTTTAATTCAACTTAGATTAGGTTATTCAATCCATCTAAATCTCTAACTACTCTAAATATAAAACTTGCCTAAGATAAGCAAACTCAAACTTGCACTCCAAGCACCTAATTGACGCCTAACTAGACGCAACTCCCTAAAACAAGTCCTAATCAATTTAGGAACTTATTTAGCTAAAACAAGTCCTAATCCAAATAGGAACCCTAAATGCTTAAAATAAGAAAAACCCTTTCAAATGAAAGGTAAAAACTTGTAAGCAAACTCTAGAAAATAAACTAAGTAAAGACTCCACGAATTCAGCTAAACTAAGGAAGGCTACAAGGCAAACCGTAGCCTTACTTTGATGACCCATGAAGTGACCATACATTGCGTGATTTGAGTCCAAATTGAGGGCTAAAGTTTCTTCATGTTGACTTAGCAAATCTTCCAAGTTCGTCCTCGTATCATCCTCCTCTTCTTCGAAGGAATTTGTCCTCAAATCTTCAAGTTCCTCATCCGGAATGTACTTAGCCAAATCTCCAACATTGAAAGTGGCACTTACACCATACTCTCCCGTCAGTTCAAGCTTGTATGCATTATCATTGATCTTCTCCATGATCTTGAAAGGTCTTTCACTCCTAGGCATCAACTTGTTCTTGCGTTTACCCGAAAATCTTTCTTTTCGTAGATGCAACCAAACCAAGTCGCCCACCTTGAAGACTTGTTGCTTCCTATGCTTATTGATCCTTGCTTTGTACATGTCATTAACTTTCTCTATTCTTGCACAAATTTGAGCATGTAACTTGAGCATTTATTTAAGCTTAGATTCGGCATCCTTGTGTACTAGCTCGCCTTTTGGTAATGGAACAAAATCGATGGGCAATTTCGGATTCACTCCATAAACTACTTCAAAAGGACTATGATTAGTAGCATAAGTATATGATCTATTATAAGCAAATTCCGCATGGGCTAACTTTATATCCCAATCCTTTTGTGTCTTGCTTACTAATCCACACAAAAGTGCACCAAGAGTTCTATTTGTTACCTCGGTTTGTCCATTCGTTTGTGGGTGATAAGAAGTACTAAAGAGTAGTTTAGTACCTATGAATTTCCATAAAGACTTCCAAAAGAAACTCATGAACTTTGTATCACGATCACTCACAATGGTATTCGGAACTCCATGCAATCTAACAATCTCCTTGAAGTAAAGCTACGCAACTTTCATAGCATCATCCACCTTGTGGCAAGGAATAAAGTGTGCCATCTTAGAAAAACGATCCACCACAACTATGATGGAATCCTTCCTCTTTGTGTTCTCGGCAACCCTACAATAAAATCCATAGAAACGTCTTCCCATGGTGCATTAGGAATAGGCAAGGGTGTATACAAGCCTTGATGAAAAGTAGCCTTCGCCTTTTGACAAGTTGCGCATCTAGCTATCACTAGTTGTATGTCCGCAAGCATCTTAGGCCAATAGAAGTGCTCTTGAAACATATCAAGGTCTTTTTAATGCCAAAGTGACCAGCAATCCCTCCTCCATGAGCCTCTCTAACAACTAGCTCTCGGATTGAACACTTAGGAAGACAAAGTCGATTTCCTTTGAAAAGAAAACCATCTTGCAACAAGTAGGAACCTACGACCCCCTTTGAACAATCATCAAATATTGTAGCAAAGTCATCATCTCCTTTGTAGTACTCTTTAATCAATTCAAAACCAAGCAATTTGCTATTAAGAATACCTAGCAAAGAATACCTTCTTGAAAGCGCATCCGCCACTACATTAGTTTTCCCTTCTTTGTACTTAGAAGAAAAATTGAATGATTGTAAGAACTCAACCCACGTAACATGCCTTGGATTAAGCTTTTGTTGCCCATGTATATACTTTAAAGATTCATGATCGGAATGCAATACAAAGTGGTTAGGTCTCAAGTAATGACTCCAATGATCTAAAGCCCTAACAATTGCATAGAATTCTTTATCATAGGTGGAATAATTCAAACGAGCCTCATTTAATTTCTCACTAAAGTGGGCTATGGGTCGTTATTCCCTTGCAACAAAACAGCCCCAATCCCCACTCCACTTGCGTCGGTTTCTACCTCAAAAGGTTGTGAAAAATCCGGCAAGGCAAGTATAGGTGCTTCACATAGCTTCTTCTTAATCAACTCAAACGCTCCTTGGGCTTCTTTAGTCCACTCGAATTTTCCCCTTTCTTTCTTCAAAAATTCGGTCTTGGGTGCTACAACACTAGAAAAGTTCTTCACAAATCTTCTATATAAAGAAGCTAAACCATGAAAAGATCTAACCTCACTAGCTTTAGTAGGACTAGGCCAAGTTATAATGGCTTCCACCTTAGACTTGTCAACCGAAACTCCATCTTTAGACATACATAGCCAAGAAAAGTAACACTAGGCACCAAGAAATAACACTTCTTAAGCTTAGCATAGAGTTTCTTTTCCCTTAACACTTCAAACACACTTCTCATATGCGTTAGATGATCATGTAAATTTTTCAAATATATCAAGATATCATCTAAGTAAACAACAACAAACTTTCCAAGAAAAGGTTTGAGTACCTCATGCATCAATCTCATGAACGTGCTAGGTGCATTAGTAAGACCGAAAGGCATCACTAACCATTTGTACAACCCTAGCTTCGTTTTCAAGGCGGTCTTCCACTCGTCTCCTTCTCTCATTCTTATTTGATGATAGCCAATCATAAGATCAATCTTAGAAAATATTCGCGAGCCATGTAACTCATCAAGCAAATCATCTAATCTTGGAATAGGAAAACGATATTTGATGGTGATGTTATTCACGCTTCTAATATCAATGCACATTCGCCAACTCCCATCCTTCTTTGGAACAAGCAACGTAGGAACGACACATGGACTCATGCTCTCTCTCACGTAGCCTCTAGACACGAGCTCTTCAATTTCCCTTTGCATATCTTTAGTCTCTTCCGGATTGCTTCTATATGCTGCCTTATTTGGTAATGGTGCTCCCGGAATTAGGTCAATTTGATGCTCAATCCCACGAATAGGTGGTAATCCCGGAGGTAACTCCTTAGGGAATACATCCTTGAATTCGGCCAAGACTTCTTCTAGCTCAATCGGCCTCTTCTCTTGCTTGTCTTGATCAATTCGGAACTTATTAGCAACAAGTACATAGACCATGCTATTATTTCTAATCTCTTTCTGCATCTTTTTCTCACTAATTAAGTAAGAACTCTTCAAATTGGAGGAGTTGTAAACCGGCGTGTTGCTAATCAATGGTTTCAATGCAACCAGTTTTTCTTTTCCTTTTCTAACAACATACACATCAGTCCTTCCATCAAATTTAACAAATCTATCATATTGCCAAGGACAGCCTAATAGTATATGACATGCATCCATAGGACAAACATCACACAAAACTTTATCATGAAATTTGCCAATAGAAAAGGATATTAGCGCTTGCTTGTTGACCTTGACATCACTTGTGTTGTTAAGCCAATGAAGCTTGTATGGATGTGGATGCTCGGTGATTGGCCACTCTAATTTATCAATCAAGATCGTAGACACCACATTAGTGCAACTTCCCGTGTCTATGATTACATCACACAATCTATCCTTCACTTTGCACCTTGTATGAAAGATCTTCTCTCTTTGATCACCCTCCATAGGTGTAGGTTTCGAATGTAGTGTTCTCCTTAGGACCAAACTTTGACCATTGGATTCGACCTCTACTTCTTCCAAGGGCTCCTCCTCCTCTTCTTCAAAGTTTTCTTGATCCTTTTCAACATCACTACCTTGCTCACACAAAGCCTTTTCTTGTTCCCACTCTTGAGCCGTCATGACTCATTTAGAAGGAAAATCACAACACTATTACATTTAAAACACTTCCTAGCTTCCACAAACTTCTTGTTAGGTTCGAATTTAGGTTTAGAATCTTTGAAAATTGAACTAAAACTACCCTTTTCCACGTTAGTCTTTTCAAAAGGTTTTGAGAACCCTTATGTAAACGATTTAGTGTATGAGCTTTTCTTCGATTTTAATTGCTTTTAAACTTTAATAGCTACTTTACACACATCTTCAAAAGACCAATATTGTTGTAACTCAACTTTTTCAGAAATATTGTCATTCAAACCCGAAATAAAACGAGCAATCTTATGTTCAACAATTGCTTCTAAATCACATAGCATGCGTGCATAACTTTTCAAATTCAACAATATAATTCTCAACGGTTATAGAATTTTGTTAAAAAGTTTGCATCATAAGATAAACATCTTGAACATAATCATTAGGAACGAACCTCTTTCTTAAGTGTTTCTTGAATTGTCCCCAAGTTGAGATTTTAGAACGCCCTTCTCTATGCCTTTTTTTCTTTAGATTATCATACCAAAGACTAGCATAGCCCGTGAGTTTTAATTCGGCAATCTTACACTTCTTTCTCTCATTATACCCCTTGTATTCAAAGAGTGTTTCGGCTATCCTAACCCATTCAAAGTACTTCTCTGGTTCACTCAATCCCCCATTGAATTCGGGAAGGTCTAACCTAAGGTCATCCTTTGGTTTCTCCCTTCTCCTAGGTTTAGGTGATTCGTCACTTGAGGAATGATCCTTACGTGACCTCCTAGGGTTTCTCCATGGGTATTCTTCTTCACTAGAACTAGAACTATGATTAGAACCCCTCGTTGAAGAAGATCTATCAAGCCTATCAAGTCTTTCAACACTTCATCTAATCTTGAAGTTAAATCGTTGATTTATTTTTCTCTCCTAAGTTCGTGTGCTTGTTCTAGGGTCAAGCCCCTTGGAACTCTTGGAAATTCTTCTTCAATCATGATTCCTACACAAACCAAGTTAATTCATGCAAAAATCTTGAAATAAAGAACAATTCTTGAACCAATCTTGAAGCAAACAAAAACCGGACTCCCAACCCGTATTCCAGTGCAACAACACCAAAAGTTTAAGGCTGTACAGAGTTCGTTACTTATCCAAATTCTACGAAATTTTAGGTGAAGATAGCCAGACGTTTTTAGAGTCTAATGCAAAACGAATCACTCAAAAATTCCAAGCCAAACGTTCCCATTTTAAATTCTGCTGAACCTGTGCTCTGATACCAAGATGATGTGATTATTAGTCC